GTGTTTCTGCGGATGCCTTTCCCCACTTTCCTATCTTGCTCATCCTGCTTCCTTGCTAATGAATTCTTAATTCAGTATAACATCAAATTTAGGCTTTTGTGTGAGTCCAATGCCAGAAAAGCAAAGGCTGAAGAGCAAATAAACATTGGAGAACATTGTTTTCACCTTTTTAAGGTGTTAAGTGTGTGAGCATTTCGTGCTTCCACTTCTAGGATCTCTATTTTTATTAAGTAGCCTTGATTCTCACCCTGTTTTTCATTCTTAATTCTATTACAGATCATTCACTCAGTACACATTTAATGAGTTCCTAGTATATACTGGTCACTACAGAGACAAAGATATTAAGACACAGTCTCTGCACTCAAGAAGCTCATAGTTTTGTCCTCGCCAGTGTGGCTCAGTATGGTCATCGCATGCACCAAAGGTCATAGGTTCGATTCCTGGTGAGGGCACACAACCAGGTTGCAGGTTTGATCCCAGCTTGAGGTGCATGGGGGAGGCAACCAATCAATGTTTCTCTCTCACATTGATGTTCCTCTTTCTCACTCTCTCTCTCTCCCCCTCCCTTCCTCTCTCTCCCTAAAATCAAGGAAAACATGTCTTTGGGTGAGGATTTAAAAAAATAAATAAAAAGTAGAAGTGTAGTGACAGAGAAGGAGTGGTCAGGGAGAACTTAGGAAGAATGCTGTGCCCTGTAAGAGTGTTTAATGAAAAGAAGAAGGTAAGCTGAGCAGAAGGGGTTGAAGATAGAGAGGGTAGCATGAAGCAAGGCAAAGGGGCAACCAATAGCATTCCCCTCTTCCCCTCCTCCCCCCAAATTATCAACGATTCTCAGCTGATGAAGCAAGAATGTAAAGAAATGGAGTCAGGCCATGCAGCACCTCATGTGGCCTGTCAAGAAGTTGGACTTTTTCTTGCAGGGGATAGAAGGTCATGATCAGGTTCGAAGAACAGAGTAACCTCGTTAAACTTGAGTTTTATATCCGTCTATAGTAGCCTTACTTTTTTCCGCTGAGATGAAAGGCAGGAAGAAAAGTTGAGAATGCACTTCAGCTGTTGAAGTAAAAGATGCTGAGACCCTGAACTATGACATTTGAAAATACAAGGAAAACAATTCATCATCACTTAATGATGGAAGAGTTGCAGGAAATGAGGAAATGGGAGTTATGCCTGTGGATGGCATTATGAGGGAAAATGAAAGTGGAATATTTTCTACTGATGATCAGAATAAATGAAAGCATGGCAAGAGCAGGTAGGTAGTAAAACACACGATTAGGAACATTTTCTTGTTATCCTGGTTTTACATTATGTAGAGAATTTGTAGTACAGAGAAATGCTTTGCATTTAAGCATTCAAGTTGCTAGGGTCTGTTTTTATGATCACTTTTTCTATTGTCTTTCTGTATTCCTTCCAAAACATTTAATTCTGGAATCCTTACTTGTCCCTGCTCATTTAAAATAAATTCTTAGTTTTATTGTAGCTTCCTGTGTTTTGATCTATCTTCATCCCTGATCCTATCTCTGGGATTACCTGTGTCTCCCTGCTATGGCCTGACCCACCCTCCTTGGAATCTCTCCAGGCCTCAGGGAACCCAACCTGCTTCCAATGTCCTAAGATTCTGCTCCTCAGTGAGGGGGATTTGGATTTAATACAGATTCTGAAATCCAACCAAGAGAAAAAGCTAAGCATATAGAGATTTAAAAAGAAACAAATAAATAATATCTCACTTTTTTTAAATATAAAGAGAATTGGATTTTGTTTCCCAATGCAACAATATTTACTTATTCCTATTTGATTGAGGATTTTATTGAGAATACAAGCTAATCATTAGTATAGCAGATGTCCTTCTCAGGAGGGCTAGGATGGAGCTTAAGGGTCTTTATGTGATTTGATTTGAAATGGAAAGACAAAGTTTCAGAGCAGAGAAATGAGCAGCTTGTAACCATAAAGGAAGATGAATCTGGCATTGGTGAAATTTTCAGTGGTAGAGAAAACAGACTAAAGGATGGAAGGCAACTAGCTCTGGTGCAGCTACTCCCTGTGAGAAGAACACAGTTAGGGTGATGGTATTAGGAAAGCAGACAAGGGTCTGGGCATAAGATGTCTTACCACAGTTAATTGATTAGCATTTGGTGATTGACTGAATGTGAAGAGCGGGAAAAAAATTCAAAAAAGGACCAATGTTTTATATTTCACATGAACGTGAGAAAATGACTGAAACATTTATGGAGATTTCAAAAGATAAATATTTCAGCATTGAATGATTACATTACTTTATGGAATAGCTTATCATACGTATGAGGCTGGGTGATATCATGTAGATTTTGAGAAACTGGAGTTTATGGCAAGAACTTGGAGCTCAAATTTACAGAATAAAAGTGTGAGGTCAAATAAATATAAGAGAGCAAGTTCAGAAAGGCAGAATGTCAAGTCAATGGCTCAGTAATGGTTCAGTGCTTAAGTTGCCCCCCCCCCCACCTCCCCAACAAAACCAAACCAAACCTCAGATGTGTATTTTATTAACAGTTTAAATGTTCCCAACAAGGGCTCAAAAGCAAAGGCCTTGATCATTAACAGATCCTTGATAACTTTCAAGGGAACAGTTTTGGTAAAGATGTGATCAAATCACAATGCAAGGATTATATTGGGAATCTTTTGACAAGGTGGGTAGTAAAAGAAAGAAAAAAGAGCAAAGCATTGTTAAGAAATACGAACATTAAAGAGAATGTTCTTTCGGTCTAGGGGTGACCTGAACATTCTAGTAGGCAGAGGGGAGATTTCTGGGGAAGGGTGGAAAGAAGACCCAAAGCAAAGTATTGTAATGAGGTTATAAGAAATTACTTGCAACACGTGAGGTGAGTCTGTGAGTGAATCTAGGGGATGAACAGGGAAAATAAACATGGAAAAAGAGTGGAAATCAGAAAAATGAAGAAACAATATGTAATAATGATAAGAGGGTGGAAGATTGGGAAGATATGGACAATCAGGACACATGAAGGAACTTTCATAACTGGGGATGCAGAAATAAACAGTTCTGAGAATCATAATTAAAACAATTTCCAGTATTTATTTTAAATATATTTTTATTGATTTCAGAGAAGAAGAAGAGGGAGAGAGAGATAGAAACTTCAATGAAGGGAATCATTAATCGGCTGCCTTCTACATGCCCCACAGTGGGGATCAAGTCTGAAACCTGGGCATGTACCCTGACCAGGAATCGAACCATGACTTTCTGGTTCATAGGTTGACATTCAACCTCTGAGCCACACCGCTTGGGCAATTTCTAGTATTGTTTTTTTAACAATGAAAAACCTGTGTATGGGAAAACATAATAAAGAATAAGGGCAAAAAATGATGTCTTATCATTTAATTCCAATATTTATTTTGAGCAATGTGATAGCATGGACCTCAGAATTTCCCGTGAACAGAGAAAGCAATGACCAAGAAGTTCCAGGACTAGAAACCTTACCTCTCTCAGAGGATCATTCAGTTCATTGAGAATATTTTCCTCATCAAAGATCTTGCCTTGGTATCTGTGTTCATAGTAATCATGAATCTTCTGACGCATATCAGCTGGCAACTTATGGAATGACATGTATTGTTCCACTTGCTTATACTGTAAGGAAAGGAAAAAAGAAAATGAAAAATCATTGTTAGGCTGAATGAGAAATCGTCATGCTACTTTGCTATATTCAATAACATATGGATAACAATAACAAAAATAAGTAATTCTTTAAGGGCAAGGAACTCATGTACTAGGTTTTTAATGTCACTATTCTGTGTCACATATTGTAGAAGGTATTTATTTAGGTAAATCTTTCTTGTAATAACCTGAGATGTTATGGAGAGAAGGCACAAAAGGATTTCAGAGTGAGTTTAAGGTTGTAGTCCCAGAAAAACCAATGATTGGGTAAAAATAAAATTTTTACACACACACGCGCACACGTATTCTTTTTTAAAATTTCATTTTTAGCTGAGTTCCAAAAGAAGTATGAAGTTGCTCTTTGGGTCTTAATTTGGAGAAAGAATCTGGTAACTTTGGACACTACAAAAAGTTTAATCTTAGATCTTACAGTGAAAGAGCAGACCTAATTCAGTACTGAACATCCAGGCAGGGAACTTGGCAGCTGTTTGCAAGTCAAGAAACAGATGCCTTGCAAAGTAAGAGAATGTGTCCCACTTCAATTTAGGACCCAGGAGAACATGAGGGTGAGACTAGATCCACCTAATTTCATAGCAGGAAGTTAACTCAGACAGTTAAGTTCATTTAACCAAGAAGTTCTTAAACTTGGGTATTTATAAACTTAGGTGGGGTTGTTGTTCTTTGGGAATGCAGATTTTCAGGCTTAACTCTGAGATGATTCCCTTGGGGTACAGGCCCCTGTGAATTTACAGACATACTCACATACACACACAAAGTCACTATTTTTTTTAAGCATCCCTGCTAGTTAACAGGACATGGTAGCACCAATGTTGCGTGGGAGCTTATTAGAAGGGAATTTCAGGCTTCACCTCAGATCTATGAAATCAGCATCTTAAAAGGACCCCAGATGACTCATCACTTTTACATTTGAAAAATGACTTTAATGTTTCCAAAACAGGTAGTTGTAGGGAGAAGCTATAGAGTTAAGCTGACTGACCTGTTGGCAAAGCCACAAATAAGTCCCAGCTTAGGGGGCACAGTCCTCTTAGCATAATTAGGCTTGACCTTATGACACTCCCTTCATCTTATCTGGGTAGCTAATGGGCTAAGGCAGCCGTGGGCAAACTACGGCCCGCTTTCCTCTGGATCTCTCTCTGTGACCTCAGCCAGGCACAGGAAGATCCACCTAGACCCAGCTTATTCTCTTTGTCATTTCTCCATCCTTCACCGCCCTCACTCAGGCTTGTGGAACCCTTGGCTGAGCTGGCTCGGCACAGTTATGATGCCATACTTTGAAAAAGTGAGTTAAAACTCTCAAAATTAGTTTCATTGTACAGAAATAAAGTTGACAATAAAAATAAAATAGTAAGTAATAAAATCAGATAAAGATACTGAAATACGGTTCTTCCTTTAAACAAAACACATTTGGTGCATTACCATGGGAAGCTTTTTCTCAGATCTTTCAGATAGCAGAGTTCTGTCTATAAAATCTAGATCTTTTGCCTCCTTGTCTGCACTTCATGTGATTATAATAATTGATAACAGACACAGCTAACGAATAACAGCAATTAAATCTCGTCAATTTTCCCACATACTTTCCTTACCTATAAAGCTCATATTGTTTGGATGTTCCCTTTCAGAGCTTAGTATCCTCTAATGAAATACAAATTTGTCATGAGAATTCCTTCATTTGGTCACCAGATTATCCTCTTGAAGAATTAAAGCCCCCAAATGAACATATATGAAGCAACTAGATTACGATGTAAGCATTTTGAATTTTAGGCACTGATGCTGTCACAGCCATTGTGTGTAAATGGCTTCTAGTATGTACCTGAGAAGTACAGGGTTAATATTTCCCGAGGGGCTCACATTGCATATGCCTGCCTAACCTCAGATGCTTGCTAGCTCACTTCTGGAAACCTGGATTCAGTCAGCTGGACCCTCACCAGCTGGTGCATGGGAAAGCAACTCCCATGGCTTTCTCTACTGACTGCTCTGGAGGGTGAAGCTGATTTGCAGCTGGTCTGGAAACGCTCTTTATTTCTGGAGACATTTCTGTGCCTACTCTTAGACATAAAGAGGGCAGTGGAATATGTGATGGACTTTTCAGGGTCTAAAATGCCACTGGAGACCCCCACGGTTAACTTCTGCACTAATGACTTACAACTAACCTACTTGATTTTGATACCATTGTCATTAACCTAGTTATTAATAACAGGAAAGGAACAAAGGGAAGGCCAAATATTATAGACATATCATTTGGGCAGTTTCACCAGGAAGCTAAAGCTTTACTTTCCCCAGGGAGCCACTGGTCTATTCCCTGCAGATCGCTGGGGAAGGGACTGCAGAGGGAGAACAGACACATGCCCATTGGAGTTGGGGTGGCATTGGGAAGGTATTTGCTTGTCAGTCACACCTGGGAACAGGTCATTGGCCAGAATGGGCGTGGCCATGGCAGGGCATGACATTTGGGATACTTAATCCCTCACACATTGGAATTTGTGAACTTGGAGTGTAACACTTGACTCCTGCCTTTGTGGGGCTCTATCTCTCCTTTTCCTGACACTGGCCTACATGATCCATGATGCTGAACTGGACCCGGCTGCAACATGGAATGGAAACTCTGGACACTGGCTTTGCTTTTAGCTCTACTGAACCCTCAGCTATACTTCTATGACTGGAATGGCACTTTGGAAACCCAGGGGTGTAATCCCACAAATAAAAACCACTCATCCTCCCATGCAAGTCTCAGAAAATTATTTTCCTCACGATATCATAAGGACCCCACACTCAGCACCCAGTGGGGAAGAGGACACCCAATTTCCCTGATATCGGTTTAACTAGTCTGGCTCAACTAGATCAAACGCTATGGAGAGCTTTGTGGGTGAGCTCTCCCCACACCAAGGCTCCCCGCACAGATCCTGATGGAAGAAACCAGAGACAGCTCACCCCAGGTGCTCCCCACGGGATCTCACCCTGGGAAAGGCGCTGGCTTCTGATCCTTATTTGTGTCTCTTTCTCTGCGGTGTGGTCCCTTTGCCTTTAAACAAAAGCCTCCTATGAGCAAGTCTGGCATCTGATGCGTCCTGTCAAACACCCGGACTTGGGAAAATAGAACAGCTTCAGACAATAGGACGACTACAGCTTGGACACTGACTACAGTGATGAAAGTCCTTTCCGTTCTGGCCAAATAAAGGATTCGCCACCAGCTGGTGTCCAGCAGTCTCTGCTTACCCTTCTCAACAAGCTTCCTGCCCAAACACTGCTTGGAGTGGTGAGAATGTTCAACCTTAGAACATTGAGCTCTAGATTTCTTAATTCTTTGTAAGCATCTTAGGGGTATAAGACGCAGTGTTAACCGTGTGGTATTCATTTGGAGGAAATCTGCGGCTATGTGCAAAGGCCTAGTCATCTAGAGGAAAAATTAGCTGCTCCATGTCTGTCTATGGAATTGGAAAACGAATCCTTGATTAGCTGCTTACAAATACCACATGTGAAACTATTTTATTTTTAAGGCGAGTCGGTGTTGGTTGAAATCCAGTTCTTTTTTCTTACAAAATTCATTTCATCCCTTTAGACTTCAGTGTCCTAATCTGCAGCAAAAGGGTGTTAGGCCAAATGATGTACCTTGTTCCTTCAGAACAAAATTTCTATAGGTATTTCTTGTCATTCATTCATACTGAGCCAAGTTTGATTTTTGAGCCTATACTATCCGTTTTAACCATTCACTGACATGGGAATTATTGATCTAACAAATGTTAATTGATTGTTGTGTGCTAATGGTTCTCAAGAGGCAGTTGTCAAATACCAGTACCACCTGGGATGTTAGAAAGGCACATGTGTATTCTCCACCCAGACCTCCTGAATTAGAATTGCAAACTCTAAGCTGTGTGTGTTTTAACAGACTCTCAATTCACTAAAATATCAGAACCACTTTGATATGCCAAGTACTGTGATAACTTAGGACATAAGGAAGCGCAGTGAGTGAGAGTCAGGAAAGAAAAGAAATTCAGTTTTGACAAGTTAAGATTAAGATGCCCACGGCTCATCCTAATGCATATCTATAGGTCAGGTACTCAGGAAAGAAAATACACATAGTTGATAACTCAGGGGTCACTAAGGAAGGGGGGGGGGTCAAACAAGGAGAGAAAGGACAAAAAGTAGAACCTACATTTTAAAAGCAGTGGAGTCATGGAGATGGATCAAGGTAAGGGAACTAACATTTGCCAGCAAGATGTGTGAGCAGAACCGAATAAAAATGATTAGCAGAACCCAAAGAAGGACAAAGTATTGAGAGGCGTGCTCAAAGGAATATTCCCTAAGAAAAGAGGTATAGGATATTGTCCAGTAAATTTGGCAATGAGGTAGTAATCTTCCTTAGAACTAACAGGATAGCCCTAGCCGGTTTGGCTCAGTGGATAGAGTGTCAGCCTGAGGACTGAAGGGTCCAGTTTAATTCTAGCCAAGAGCACATGCCTGGGTTGCAGGCTCGATTCCCGGTAGGGGGAGTGCAGGAGGCAACCAATCAATGATTCTCTCTCATCATTGATGTTTCTATCTTTCTCTCCCTCTCCCTTCCTCTCTAAAATCAATAAAATATATTTTTTAAAAAAGAACTAACAGGATAGTCTTTTGATACCCAAATATCATTGTATACACTGAAGATGACTGGAAGATAGGAATCACAAGTTATACTTTTCATTTTATTACAAGAACAAATGACATAATAATAAAAAATTAGTAAGTTAATTCAAATGGAGCTCTTAGTTTATGATTCTAACTCTAGCTTCAAATCTATAAAACATTGCATAGAAGTAGTTAACTTTTTACTGAAGTCTGTCTCTCAGAATGCATGGATTTACTGTACAACGTGTTTGCTGGAATCTCAGGAGATTTTTTACAATGTAGCCCATGCTGACAGCAAACACTTAACCTGTGGGATGTCTCTGTGTAACTTGAGATGGCAACAATAA